TTACATTCTCCCCAGAAACAATGACATGAATCTGATTTATAACTGGTGGTAAAACTTTATTATTCAAGTTTAGATGTAACAGACATCTTTGCTGCCTGAAGATTGTTTGCATAAGAAATACACCAAGAACATGTTTGTGAGTAGAAATGAACATGCACTATGAAAACCAAAAAACAAAACAAAACAAAAAACCCAAAACAAACAAAAAACACACCCATGTGTTGTAAGGACAAAACATTAAGAGCCAACATTCTAGAGTCAAATCAGGGCTACAAGTTTAATGATGGTGTTTAGCAACATGAAGTCATTCTTTATGAAGTACTTTTTTTTTTTTCTTTCCTGCTGGTGAATTTTCTATAAGCTAAATTTACAATGGCATTTTGAGATGTTTTATTTTCTCCTGTTCTCCTACACAGAGCTCAGAGGCCAAAATAGTAAGAATGGAAAACTGTAGTTGCTGTTACAAAATGTATTCTAAGAATTTTACTTTACTAAGTGTACTCAAAAAATCTGGTATTTAACTGTCTTTTATCCTCCTAAAAAGAGGTAAATGGGGGTACATGTGATTACTATATAGGTAGCATTTCACCAACTGCCAGCTTTCCAGAGCTGGCTGAATGAAATGAAATTGTGAGGAAGAGAGTAAGGAGGAATCCTATTCTGAGGTGAGGAAATTACGTAAATCGCTCTACTTGGCCCATCTTAACTTTACAGAAAAATTTAGAAGGGATTTCTCACTTATCTATCACATTTGGGATACGCTGACAAATTGCTTGCTACTCTTTGCCAAGCATAACTGTCTCCACAGAAGCAGAAGGAAATATATCTACCCTTCTGGCTGAACAGAAGTGAACTTCTAATCTCTTTGGCTTTTCCTGACCAGTATTAGGAATTAGCATGTTAAATCAGCCAAGAAAAATCAATACAGGAGCAAGAATGGGAATATATTTAGACATCCTGGGCAAAAAGCAGATGGTAGACAGTATCTCTAGCACATAAAGCAAGTAGTTATGACTAAAAAGCAACAATGTCTCAGCCAAAGATAGACTTGAAAGTCTATCCATGAATTGAATACTAATCCACGGTTGCTAAATCAGGTCTCTCAATTGCACAACCACTACGTTTTGGCACTGTATATAATTAGCGGCAGTCACTTTTGTCCTGCTGCCCTCTAACTGCGAAAATAATCTCTTGCCCACAGCGTCCCTCAACTTTTTGAAATATCTTTATGTTCTTGCTCTTTAAAAGTGTCACAATGTGCAACCGCACATTTTTTAGGCAAAACTGAGACACAAGTAACCAGTGTCCCTCCCTCTTTCTGGATGGTCCATGAAAATTTAAGGTCGGAGTTCCATCAGCACAGTGGCAACTAGGTGCAAAACTTATTTTGGAACGCACTCTCAGTTTAGCACCTGAGTGCAAACTGTGCTCTGGAAGATCTTCGTTTCCCGCTACATTAACCTAGGGGCTAACAGCCATGGAGTGACAGCTTAGAGACAATCTGGTTTGCAGAAGATGCTGCATGATGGCTCCTGCTATACAGAGTATTAATGAAAACAGAGTTCCTGTTCTGCAGTCTGACTAAGGACAGGCACCACAATTCCTCCGGTTTTGAACCACCTACTTATTTTGTGGTCCAATTTGAGATACATTTTAAGATCTCAAACTACCATTCCTTAGCAAGAGAAGTACACAACACTGGAGACACTGACAAACTAAGAACAATTTTTAGCGCTTAAGTTGTTCAAAATGCAGTGGGGATAGTAATTACTTGTGTGTGCTAACATTGGTTTCCATCTGAGACTTATTAAATAAGACTATTCTTTTCAGTATTGGGATTTATTTTTCTTTTGATTAATATCCATTGTGATGGGGTCTGCAAGAGGGATGGAGTCACTTCTCTTTTGTTAAGAAAAAAAACTGTGCTCCCCCTAACCCAATCAAAGAGAACAGGCTATGGCAAAATCCCATTTCTTATAAAGCAGATATCTTAGAACATCTCAATATGTCATGGCAAGAACAATGAACTTTTTTCAAATTTTATCTGCCCCACCTAGGTGTGTAACAGTAACATTCAAAAATCTGTCTTGTTCTCACTCAAAAGATTTCATTTCTCCTCATCCCCAAACCCTGATATGTGTATTTCTCGTTATCAGCCTCTGCTTATGAGTTTGGCAAGAGGTGTTATGAAGTACAGGGTGGTGCTCAAGTCTTACAATGTGCATGTCCCCCCAGAAATATTTTGCCATGAAGATGCAGCTTCTATCAATGAAGAAGCCACAGGAACTGGTGTGTCTTAGGCAAAGTAAGTCAAACCAGTAACGTGGCAGGCAGCTACCTCTGAAGTCGATAAAAATCACTGCTAAGTGAGTCTAACATGTTTCTTGGAAAAGCTGAAAAGGACACACACTGGACCCTGACATAACAAAACGAGGGCAAACTATTTCAGTCCCCACAGAAAAAAAAAGAAACAAAAAATACCCAACAAAAATAAATCCACAAAAACCAAGTCAGAACTTATTATTGGAGAACAATAGCAAAAACATAACCAGACTTTGTCTGGCACTGGTATCAAGCTGGAGATTCATCTAAAAAATAGAAGAAGAAGATTGTGGCCCAATATCCTTTGCTAACCTAGAACACTATGGAAGGGTTATAGAACTCAACCATGAACAGATTGAGTGGGACTTTCCATATGCTGCTCACCAGTACAGAAGCAATGGGTGGAGCAGGAAGGAATGCAAGCCTAATGCTGAACAACAGCCCATCTGTGCCTGACAAATCAGAGAAACTGTGCAATAGCATTTAATCTGTGTGAAAACGTAACACCTAAAATACTGCCAAGGTCAGCAAGACCTTTGGCGATCAGCTGTGCAAGTGCTTCTCATGCAAGGTGATGTTCTTTGCCACCTGCTTTAGGCACATTATTTTTCAAAAGACTATCAAAGTGCTGAATGTTTAGGCCAGTTCCTCCCTGGTTTTCCTTTCGCCAACCCCTATAAGACATTTCCTATCACCTCTCCTTTTATCTTCCACCTCCCTGTCTATCTGGTTAAGTATCTTATAAGTGCACCAAATTCTACAAGGGAAAGTGGTGAGATTCAGGTAAGTTAAATACAAGCACATTTTTTTTTTTATGATGCTTTAGTTTCAATTACATGAAAATCTGAGAAAGGCGGCATGTAAGTGAGATCAGAATAGGACCCTTTACATATAATCTCAAGTGAGGACTTAGTCCAGAGATATTTTTATAGAACATTTTAAAAAATAAAATGCATGAATGGAGAAATAAAAGACAACATAATATCAGAAAGACATTTTAAACTTCATTCGCTGCAACATTCATGAACCAGTTGAGCTACACCTGCCATCCAACCATAAGGAACTAAGACCCTGCACTGCGAAAAAGAAACAAACCCAAACAAAACAAAAAAGCAACTGCGTAATATTGTAAAAATGGAGTGCAATGCTACTACAGAATGCAATAAAACATCAGTGCTGCATCGTCAAACAGCACTTATCAAAATAATTTCTGAAATGTTTCTTCTGAAACACAGACAAAGCAATAAAAAGAGGATATATGTTTATCATTTTAAGCATAACAATGTGAGTTAAGAGCTTAAGAATACAAAAGTACTTGGAATGAATAGTGCTACCCTTTTTTTCCTAAGTAGGCATAAAAATATTTTCATTTCCTTCTTGTTTTTCCATACCATTACTATCAACAAATTTCATTCATTTCATGTTATCGTTTACAACTTTAATGCACACACACAGAAAAAAAGATACCTACTGCAATAGAAATAGTTGCTTCATTACCTTGTTTGCTACATTTGCAAATGTAAACAGCGAGGCAGAGCCAGAACTGACTCTAATGCATGATGGAATATCTTTGTTGCATACGTACACTGTAGAAAATAATTATTCAATATGTCAGGCACCATTATTTGAAATGTAATACATTAATATTTACTAGAAAAATAAGGTTTTTTCTATTTGTTCTCCCAACTTCTTTAATGAAATAAGTTAATCTGACAGTGCATCCAGTAGCTTGTAATATCTTCTACATCCCTGTGGCAAAATAATAAACTACTGGTTGGGACACTATAATGAAAATGATTAAAGTCAGTTCTTGTACACCCTTGTAGCAAGCATGGAGGCTCGTCTAACAGCACCTTCAACCAATTATTTAATATTTAGTTATTTAGCCCTATTTCCCTGAGCAGTTATGCTGAGGAGCTTTCCCTTCATGGATAGTTTTTACAAAGCTTTAAGTATTAAAAAGTACTATGAAGACATTTAATGCTACTTAGCAAAAGCTGGTATAAGTCTACTGAAGGGATTGACTGGTATGTATAGCAATGTTAAGCCTGTGGAGAAGTAACCTTAGACTTTAAGGTTCAGAAATATAATATATTAAAAAATATATTAAAATAAAATACAGCAGGTTACCTTGTTCTATGCAAATTAGACCCGGAGTGTGGCTTCAGTATTAGAGACTTCACTTGCACAAAATGGTTTTCCTAAGCTAAAGTGTGCCAGAAAGAATGTAGTGATAAAATGGTAGCTAAAAATCAGCTGAGTCTGAGAAACATATAGGTGAAACTGCTGCCAAAGCTTTGAGGACAAAGTGATCCTAAGGCATGTTGTAGGGCAGAAATTAGCCCAAATTAAAGAAAGGAAAATGATCTTTTAACATCTGTATTTAACAAGTCTAGTTCTCATACACAATGTGCATATGTTCACTATACCCCTGCAGTAGTATATACATATACACATCTTTGCACTCTTGCCAGTTATGTCTCTTACACAACAGCAAAGGTATTAATTGTCCGGTAAAATTTTCTCAAGGTTATTTGCCATGATTCACTGCATTCTGGCTAGCTTTGGTGGGCCGTGTCCTGTATAATTATCTTCTCCCCCTTCTGGCCACCATCAAACTGTTCTTTTTTTTCTTGGTAACCCACTCATTTAAAAAGAAAAAAAAAAAGAAGAAAAAGGAAAAAAAGAAAATAACAAGGGATTTAATATTGGATAAGGCGTGCTCTCTATATGAAGTGCTTTATAGGTCTTCACAAGACATTACAAGCTATTGAATTCCCATCAAGGAAACCTATTTCTGTTTAATTGTGCTAAGTGCTAAGGTTCACTCTTTAGGTTTTCCATTCTTTTCAGCTTGTGCATTGTTCCTGTGTAGGCCCCTCTGGATGTGAGTTGTGAAGTCATACTTGTCCGTGCAAAGATGCTGGCATATGCTGCACTGGAAAGGTCCACTGTCACCATGGCAACTCATATGCAAAGCATACATCACTTCATCCAGAAAGACAATGCCACAGTGCACACACTTGGTAGAAAGTTCATCTTGAGTACTTCTATCAACTTTCTCTGTTTTTACTACATTCAAGGGACCTTCATTTTTTACATTTGGTGGTGCCTTACTCTTTTCCTTGGAGGCACCATTTGCAGTTGGCCCAGGTCTGGAATGCTTTATCGCCAAATCTAGAGGAATGTCATTGTCTGATCCGACAGCTGAAAAATGAGGAGGCAGATTAAAGGTGGGATAAGGCACATAGTTTTGGCAAGGATTTGGTAGGCCAGGCACATGACTCAAGTAGTGTGGATTCCCAGGAACAGACAGCTTATATTTACTCCAGAATCTCAGCCAGTCAGCTTCACTCTGAAAGTCATTGTGTACAAATGGCAGTCCAAAAAGCGGGTACTGGTATTTCTCAATAGGGCTTCCAGGTGGTGAATAGTTTGGATGTTTTGCAGGTCTCATGTATTTTTCTATCGGGCTGCCTCTCTCTGAGCTTCCTTTCCCTTCTGATATCGATGAACTGTTTCCTGGGTCTCCAGAACTTTCCTGAGGACTTTTTATCTGAATGTGCAAAGGTTGCATCCTTTTGTGAATATCCAGAGTTTGGCTGACCAATATTGGCTGCTGAGCAGAATGGCTTTTAGTCAATGAACCTGGGGCCTCATATTTACTGAGGCTGGGAAGCTGAATTTCTCTCTGATGACCTTCAGGTAAATGTTCCTCTGACCTCCTCTCTAAGGGGCTTCCATTGACTTGTTCCTCACTGCTACCCCTCTGCTGTTTGTTCAGCTGCTCAGCCTGAAGTGCCTCCGGGTTAAGGCGCTTTCTTGTTCGTCTCCTAATGATCTGCTCACCATTGTTCTGTTTAATGATGTTTAAAGGCCTGGGAGTCTGCATGGAACACACACATAATGAACAAAAGGAGAAAAAGAAAGACACATTAAATCTGCGAGACCACACTCACACAAATTTATCTTTTTTTTCATGAAGAGCTAGAAGAGTTTTATGGAAATGACCAAATTTCAACACAAATGCTGGTTCCTGGCCCCTCATGCTAAAAGTAAACTGTGAATTGGTTTGTTTTATCAAACTAAGTCAACTGCCTTAGATATACTACACCTGTTTACTTAAAAAGGTATGAAATATCCAAGCTGTCAAAGAGTTTATTAACCCCTGCTACTCCTGAAAGATGTGCTGAGAGCTGAGGAAGAAGAGTGAGATGCAGAGCCTGCACTAGCATTACTGTTTGCACCACGTCACCGAGCTGGTATCAGGCAGGGGTCTGCACAAATCACACTATGACAAGAACCGAGTAATACTTACCTTGATACCCCCTCTCCATTGACATGGAGAGGAAATGCAAGCAAATACAGGGCTGGCTGACCCACCACGGCTGTCAGCCAGCAAAAGAGCTGGAGGTCCACTGTGGTGGTGAGTGGGGTGATGGTGGCTGGAAAGGGACTAAGAAAGGTGGAGAAGAAAGCCCAGGAAAACTTTTCCTGTGCATCAAAATGTCTACCTGGGACTCTGGTACCAACTCAAGCTCCTTCATCCCTACTGTATTTCTTTCCAATACGTTCCTGACGATGTGCTGGTAAATCATGAAGGAAAGAAAGTGGCCCCTGAAGGTGGGAAAAAAGCACTGCAGAAGAGGCAGGGGCAAGAACCAAGTGCAGACTTCTGCTCAGGGTAGGCGGCCTATTTAGATGAGAACTGAAAAGACTTTGGTATGAAGAAAAAAGAATTAGTAGAAGGAAGGACAGCAGCCAGGCCTCTTTGAAAGGCCCCTCAGCAAGAATGCAGTGGTATGTGAATGAAAGATGCTGCTGTAACGTCGGTATGTGTTGCTCTACTGGGCAGATGTTAAAACAACAAAAACTACCTAAAAGTCATTCAGTTTGGTGTGCTGGCAGTTGCCATTTGTCTCATCCAAATGCACACTTAATCCTATTTTGGTTGGAGGCCAGAAAAGTGCCCCACACAGTATTCCACTTATATGTTTATGCAGAATTTTTTTTTAATATTGTTTTAAAGTGCAGATTAAATTTTGGCATACAGTCAATATCCAAAACCATTTGTACCTTGAATGTAACATAATTTATATATATTCATAACTTTGAGTCAATATAAAAACATCCAGAGCTGGAAGAACGCTCACTCTATTATCTGTAGAGATCTAGTTTCTCTCTTTACTTGCCATCCTCCTCTACTCTTTTACCTATTTATTTCCCTGAGGTCGGCTTATTCTTAATGGTTAGCTAAATTTTAGGCAGTGCAACTACTTGCTAAGATTTTACTTTCTAATAAAACTCTGAATCCGAAGAAATATACACTTTGATTTATATTTTTAATAAGAAAATTTTAAACTTAGCAGAGAAAATGCACCTGAACTAGCCTTCTCAAATGGATCAAAGTTCAGGCAAAATAATGCTGGATAAAATTAGAATATTTTCTATATAAATTCTATGCAAATAAAGCTTATAGTTTGCAGAATCAAGAGCCAGTTAATATGCATAAGCATATACTCTTTATTACAAGCTCAGTCTAATTTCCTCACTTTTTCATGACAGTTTTAACACTGTCATACTGATACGCTGTGTGAGACCTTACAATATTGTTAACATGGCTCTAAACTTTTATTTACACACTACAGTCTGTTTTTCATATGGCCTCGGGACAACCTTTCAATAGTTTGGAAATACTTTTAGTCTCACACTTCATGCTACAGCTATGAAGTCTGATCATGGACGTAGTTAAAGAAACATTTTCATACCCGTGATTAAAGACTCTCAATAACTTGTTTGCATCTCTGGCTCTTCAGTTACACATCATTAGGAGTTAAGAGCTGTTGGTCCAACTTAAAAATTCTTCAGTATGCAAATGACTGTATTCATCTGACTAGTCTTTAGTTGATTAAAACAGACCATTCAGCAGAGTAAAGCTGCTCACATTTTCCTTATTCTTAGTAGTAAGGTGCAGATAGAGATATTCTGCATTTGGTTGCAACTAAGGCAGGCAGAGAAGTTTAAGCTCTCTTCTTGATTTTCAGTGGGACATCAAATTTAGAAAATAGCGGAAATATTACCGGACCTTTACTTTTAAAATGCTCTATGTCCAATCTTTAATTATATGTTATACATAATAGAATGAGTACAATCACAGAGATTTTTTTGTCATCTCTGTATAAACTGGCAATCTCCCTCCCACAAACATATGAGTAAAGTTTTTTAAAAAAATATGAAATTCAACAAATAGTTTATAGAATTATAGTGATTAGACTTTCTAGATAACACGGAAAATTGAGTGATCTCTTCACTGGAAGATCATGTATGTCTCATCCTAGAATAATATGCTGTAATCCCTCCCTGAAGTAGTCTGAGGATATGGTCAAGGTGTCACACTGGTCCATGACCAAGTTAAGAGCAATTAAAAAATGAGGAACAGCACCAAAAAAAACCCTCAAATCCATGATTCTGGGGAGACAATGGATATACCTTTCTCTGCCAGCCAATGTGAATATTGTGCATATGTTTGCAGTGAATATTAAAACTATTTTAATAATTGACCAGTGGAATATTATTACACATTTCTTATCACAGTTGGCTTCAATAGAGGAGATAAATGTGAAAAACCTGGCAAGTTAAATGTAAATGACTGCTAGATAGATGGAACATTTTTGAAAACACATTGATAAATTATTCAAGGGTATCAGAGGAATGGAAATGTGACTTATAGCACTAATCACTACCATGTTAACATTTGTCAGTCAATGTCACCTACTAGTATCTGACAGACCACAGATTTTTAATTCTTACTAAATACAAGTCAAAAAAGGACCTTAGAGATAAGTGTATTATGCACATTCTGGAGATAATGAGGACAGTAGTGCTAGATAGTGATAATCCAATCAAAAGAGAGATATAAAATTTGTAAACTTACTACAGGTGAATTTTAATCAGATGTGTAGCATAATTCATTTTAACAGGGAAGGGAACAGTTCTATTCCCTTCAATTTTTATAGTTTCAGACACGTACCCAATAACTCCTTAATTCAAAAAACATCCATGACAAATAATTACTTTAATTTGTCATTATGAGATATACAGGCAGACGGACAAAAGAAACTTTCATCAGGTGTCCATCTAAAGAGCATCCCTTCGCATGGGACTGTCTCAAAAGGTGTCCCAAAAGAGAGGTTGGTTTGATTATTTCAGACTCCAACTTAACAATGGAGTTGCTATCGTACCACAGCAGAATGGATGCTTAATTAAATTCTTTGCAGTTGTTTGGTCAAAGTTCAGCTGAAGATATTAATCTCAAATGCCCACTGAATGGCAGTTTATTGCCACGCTTGAACAGTAGAACTAAAGATAGTGGCAGCTTCTTGCTTTCTGTATGTGTAACGTAAAGTTTGACTTTGTATTGCTAATTATTATTGTTGGAAGCACACTAGTTGGTTTGTATTGTCTCATAAGAATTATCTGAGCTACATGTCTGAATTCAAAACCGATTCTTTTTGCTTTTATCTACTCAATAATTTATGTCAATAACTATGGTAGTAGTTTAGAAAAATATAGTAGTTTATATGTACTTTAGAAAAATATATTTGATAAAGGGAAAATGGGGGCTGTGAATGGAAGTTCTACAAATAACTGGACTCAAAAATCATAGTAACATTAGAAAGTCAAACTGTCCCCCTTAAAGTCTTCACGGATGCTCACCCCGATCAATTTCCTTAAATTAGACATTATATCTAGAATTTTGAGAGATCTCCAGGAAGGCTCAGCCAAGATGCCGGCCAGAGATAGTGCATTAGTCTGTCTTCTCCTGCTCAGATGCTGGATTATTCTGGATCTTAAAACCAGTTACAGACCTCAGAATGTCAGCACATGGCAAACAGAGTTGACTGTTCAGACTGGGGATGGTCTTGCCACATTCAAAAATTGGGATCTTTTTTCATGGAATCTTTTATTTGAAATTTTTTAATGAAATGGACTGGCTGGACAGGATCTTGAATAAAAAATGATTGTTATATGGTCTGTATGCAAGACCAAGGGTAAAATTCACAGAAATTACTAACTGATTTAAAAGCTTATGCTTCAGATTTAAAGAGAAACAGGCATAGACACTTGGGAGTCTTAATGTATTTGAAACATAGTTTCCTACAGGGCTTTTTTATTTTTCTGAAAAAAAAGTTTTAAAAAATATGCACACTCAGCCACAGCGTAGATTTGGGCTCTAAGCCTGAACTGTTATGTTGCCTTGGCAAACTCCCGAAGGCTGCCTCAGTTTCTACTTCCAAAAAATAATAACATTTTTTAACGCCACAGGAATGTTGTAAAAATCAATTAATTAGAGTAAAATCCTGGTCACCTGACTCTTCCATATGCTTCTATTAAAGATAGTGGGGATAATATTTAACTAGTGGGTCTTAACCTAAAAGAGTCTGAGCATTTTGGCAGTGATCCAAGGCAACACTTCAGAATTGCCTTCCTGGACCTGTACCAGCGCAGTCAACATGCTTCAGGATCAAGTCAAGTGTCAATATGACAAAAAGCAATACAGTCGGTCCACAATTATTACTTATTCCCTGCCTGATCCTGAAGGAGAGTGAATCTTCCCCTCTGCAAGTGACGAGTGCCATCAAATAAGCAGTTTCCTTGTTATTTCAGGATCTTTCAGCAGACTAGAAGAACTGTAGAAAAAAAGAACAAAAAACCCCACCACCCCGTATCTCCAGAAAATTTGCTGTCAAGAATAAAGGGGGAAAGAGAAGTGAAAGCAAACAAAAACCACAGCAAGGGATATTTGTAATAGAGATGTGATGTCTAATTTTAAGGATACATTTTTTTTTTTTTTACTATGACCATGAGAGCTTTTGAATTTAGAGAGCTTTCATCACAACTGACTGTATGTCTTTAAATGGAATTCCCAGAAAAGAAATAATTTTCCCCTTATTTTGTATCAAAATAATTAAATGCATCACTGGTGATCTCAAACATGTCTACCACAGCATCCCAGCCTGTTTCATAATGAATCACATCTGATCCCAAAGTGACCATACTGCAAAACCCTGTGAGGAAATTAACTGCAGGCCAGGGAGTGGTACTAATCACACAACCAGACAAGACCACAGCTGCCCAGCTTAGCTGTGTGTAACCCCTTTTTCTTCTGAACAAACCAGTAAGTTCTTCCTACCGAGTGAAGCTTCTGGTAGAGGCCACACGCGTTGCATACATATCCACCATTTGCATTCTTTCGCCAGAGAGAGGTCTTTGTGGTCAGGCAATTGGCACAAAAAACACCCGAGCCTCTACGTCTCTGAAATAGGGAAGAAAAAGAAAAAAAAAAAAACAACACAGAAAAAAAACAGGTCAGAGGTGAGTCACATGAGCTACGGAGTTAGGACAAATCAACACAGGAGTTTTGTCTCTAGACTGGCAACAATGACAGTATAAAACCACACTGCCCATAATGAGGTCAGGTTCAATTGTGCTTAATAGGCACCACTGATTTTCATTATAATTAACCCTAGAGTGATGGATGAGGTGTGTGAAACACCAAAGGCTTTTCAGAATAACAGCTTTAACTTTTTGAACTTCAGGTTTTGTGCATTTAATAATGGTTTCTAAACAGCAAATTCTGAAAACCCCTCTGGAAGCTGACAGAGAACATTCTGTAAACTCCTCCTGGTTTGTTCACCAAATTTCACAACAGATTATTTCTGTTTAGTTTGATTGATTTTAAAGTGTGATAGGTAACAAGAATTATGAAACACCACCATTTCAATTAATTACAGTTTGTATCTGCATCACACTGATTCCTTTAAGCGAGATTATATTTCATTACTTGAATATACGATATTCAGTTCTGATCTTTTCCACTTCTGAAATTAGTATAAGCTACCATATATTTCCCACAGCCCACTACGGATGAGGAGTAACATCTGCAAACAAACAAAAATACAGTATTCTTAATGAGACTTCTTCTGAACTGCACCCCAAACCCCGGAAAATACTGTCTCATCAATGGATAGATTTATGTATTTTGTTTTAGTCAGGCAAAGAAAGACACAGTACAACTTTCCTAAATACAAATTGATTTTTAACCAGACTGAGCTGTGCATTCATCGCCTTTCGTAATGATCCAGGAATATTTAAAAGTAGACACGTTTATGAATATTGCTCGTTAAATTGTTTCTACGGAGTAATGATTTCATTAAACTTCTCATTTAAACAAAAGTCAGGCTGTGTTTGTGGGCACAAATACTAATAAGCAGGAAATGGAATTCTTTAGATGAAAAGAAAATCTGAATTTCAATTCTGTTCCCTTTTTGCAAAGGGAAAAAATCAGTAAGAAACCTTCAGCATCTAAGATAAGAATGGGTGAATACAGGGAAAGACAGCCTGCATGAAAATTAATTTTATTATAAATTAAAAATTACTAACACTCTAAGTAAAAATTTCAGGGTTCCATAAAATTTAAGTAATTTATTTAACTTTACTCCATACTGTAGAAGACTGGTGTTCATGCCAAAAAAATACAATGGTTATAATTGTACTCTGATACATTTCAAATGGAAAGCTTTCTGCAGACATAATTTTGGCTTCAAGACTGGAACACTTTCTTGGCATTGAAAGGGCATTTGATTCATCGGGTGTTTCACAATGTATCACTAAAAAGACCTGGTGAGCAGCCAGTTCCCTATAGGGTAATTTTTCCATCCAGATGCAAGTGCTATCAGAGGCCCTTGTCAGCTAAACTAATTATGATCTTGCATTTGCTGATGCCTGCTCACTCTAACGTTCGACATCCTCCATTAATCATCAATACAAGGAAAATGAATGAAACGTAAAGAATCGAGGGCTGGTAAGCTGCACAGCCATAAAAATCTGAAACGAGTGCAATAATTTAACAAGATTGGGGAAATGTTTTTAGCGAGCACAAAGTCAGGCTAACAATTGCCCTTTTAAACCAAAAACACAATTTCATTAGTACAGCAGGTTGTGCTAGTTTAAAGTGATACAATAAAATCCAGATTGTCATCAAGATAATCTGTCTCTCACCCCCTTACATCATCCCCTACTTCGTCTCTTAAATCAGAAGCAGAAATATATACTATGCCTTTTCTCAGTTTGGCTAAGGGAGAGCTAAATGGTGGTTGGTGCCCTTCAGCAAACATCTAACTCATTGTGTATTTGGGATGCAGCTCACTCTGGGAAGGCTCACTCTCCTACAGGTAAATCAAAGTTCCCAATTCTTTCTGGGATTGCTCATCCTTGCACAACTTCACCTAGCAACTCCTTAAGAGTACAGTAAAGCTTCACTAAACTAACCTCAATTTGATCCACTTGAAGGGTGAGAAGTTTCCAAGTGGAAATGACTGTACATGGCCAGGATTCAGATGCAGAACTGTTCCTTTCCATTCCCACTTTTTGTCTGCCCACCTATGTGTTCTTGGTGTGGTGTATTAACTAAGTGGAGTTTAAATCCGAGTCAGTCTTTCCACACGTTTGTTTCTGCTTGTGTTCTCTGAGTTTGTGAAATATCCTCTAAAAAGTCACAGAAGAGTGGTCTAGGTCATATTTAGTGTTTGCACACACTTGAATGGTGACAGAAGGTGTAATAACACTGAAATCTACATTGAATCTTATGGAACTAGAATATCTTTAAAACATTGAAAAAAGTAACTAATGTTTTCTCTGATTCAAACCGGACATTTGTTGCAATGAAATACAATGACTACAGCTGATACAAATTTACAAAATACATAGTAGTAGCTGTATACATCAAAAACCTATACCTGTGTTTATTTAGTACTTGCAACCTACTTATCTGTTAAAATTTCCAAGTTGTCCAGCTAAATATTCATCCCTAAATTTAACCCAAAGTATGTAAATTCATCTTCCACGCTGTTCTAAGTGTGGCATCTTATCTTTCTCTACCTTCTCTTATTTCCACACTATTTAAGGACCTTACGGGATAATCAACAACAATTGTTTCCCTACCTAAATGTTCCAACATAGATATCTATATTCTAACAAATTAAGAATTCAACCACCTCTGGAAAAGCTTAAATGTTCTTATGCTGTTGCTCTTTCTGGTAATGAAACATCTTTTTATAGTGGGGACACATAGCTTTAGAATGGATTTCCTGGGGTGAAAGTGGGCTGTGGCAGAATTGGACTAAATATTCTAGACTTCTAGATGTCAAAATATTTTGATGCTGTCTCCAAGAAAAAATGGAGAATATTTTTAAAAGTTTACAATGCTTATACTCCCCTTCTCTTAAAATAATAGTTTCTTAAATAACATAAACAAACTAAATGACAAACCTGGGCCTTCAGTCGTCATATATCACGTTTAATAAAGGTTATTGCCCAACATAACATAAATGATCTATTTTTTTGTGTGTGTGTGCGCTAAATGTTAACTAGTGATGTTTCTTCTACTGTTGGTCATGATACTTCTTCTGCACGAGTTCGTTTGGCTTTGCATCCTCAGCGTTTGCAGCAGCCAATAATAGTGGCCAATATTGCTGGTTTTCCAGGTAGACTCGCAAAGGAACAGGCACTTGAATTTCAATCCAGCAAAGCCTGTGCAACAGCCATGGCCCACGGCCCCCATAAAATCCAGCCCATGTGCTTGAATGCTCTGCTAAGCACCACCCTAGACAGCATTTCCAAGACATATGTTATGAAACCTTTTGCTCTTTTTCAAATGTGAACACGTACTTATCATGGCTAATCTCTTAAGATGAGCCTAGAACAGGTATATGGATGGAATTAGTCATGGGAGAGTTTGAGCCACAAATAAAAAGGTTTCAGTCTGTGACCACTGTCACTAACACTAGCTGAAGTTATCCATGAAAATTTCCTGTACGTCCTTGGAAGAATAAGCCAGAATACTCTAAGTAACTAAAACACATATCTATTAAGTCAAGCTTTTATCATCTGGAGCCTTATAACCACTGCATTACAATCCCAAACCCTGAAGGGGCCAGTGCAGTGAAGAGTCTGTCTCTATTTCCATTCCAGTTTCTACATCTGGGCGTTTAATATCATGGTTTAATATCAAATCACATTGGCCTGAAACTTAGTGCATGTTTTTATCAGCCCAGATGCAACGTGGTGGGGTTATTTTTGTTTTTTTTTTTGGTACTGAAAATTTTATTCAAATCAGTTCAGCTGTTTATAATTTGGAGCTTGGCCAAAACTGGAGGGTGGGAGGCAGAGGAGATTTCAAGGTTTTTCAGATAACTTTCTAACAAATCTACAGTCATAGTATCTTTGCCCTGGGGGAAAAAAAAAAAATAGTATGCACACATTTTAGTATTTTAGTAGTAGCAAAGCAACAAGTGGATTATTATTTTTATGTAGCTATGCTATGGAAGTTTGTAATTATTCACTGAACATGTCTTGCAGATCTCTTTACTGTTTTTTCCCCAGTAAGAACCATGCTGAAAGCATGTAATTGCATAACAACCCTTGATATGCAGAGTATTTACTCACATTTTTTATGGTTTCATATCTTGACCATTTCAAATTGAACAAGTCTGAAACTCGGTATACACATCGCCAAGCCTGAATGCCTTTTTTTAAAACTCCTTAAACAATTTTCACTAGTTACCAATATTTCACTGAAACAAGGAAATTATTGGAAACGCTTTTTGCTAAGCAATAAACCAGCAGAGAACATCACAACAAGAAATTCACTAAGGCATCTTGACAGGATCAGGCCCTTCATTCTTATAAAATCTTCTTCAGATTTTAAAAAGATGACCCTACAACTTACATTATTTTAAACTTTGTAGCCAAATAGAAGCATCGTTACACTCCACAGTTATATAAAAAATATTTTAAAACGCACTGAACTTTCAGTTATTATTTCAATGGAAGTTCACGTAGCAAAATATATACTGTAAAGGCACAGCCAAAAACACTGCTCAGGAACTGTGGCTTTTTAGCTAGCTAGACTAAGCAACACTGCCTGACATTCTGCTAGTGCCAAATACATCCTGTTTTCAAAATTTCTGCCAGAAGATGCTTTTAGAAACTCAAACAGGCTCCACAAGCATCAGCCAAGCATTTTTCTTACATCACCCTCGGTTTTGGACATAACAAAACTTGTCTTTTTGCTGATTACTTTCACTTCCTCATCGCAAACAATGATACAATGAAGCCTGAGTGGATTTTTTTTATCATCTCTGGCTTTCCTACACTGCCAGCAACGAAGCGTGTTATAAACACAGCTCCAGAACACAAGGTGCAGAGATATCATAAATGTTACCCTAGAATAAGTATATACACGACCTATTTCTAATGACAAGGTTGGGGACTACAAACATATGTGCCTTAATGAATAATAAAAAAAAAAAGGCAAAACGCTGTCTCTGGATAGTCTCTGGCAACATGGGAGGTCCCAAGGGGGCGCGCGGGGAACCCGCAGGTGCTCGGTTCGGTGGTGGCCAGGTGAGCCACTGTGGCAAGGATCAACTGGTCTCACACCTGGAATCGTCAGGCTGCTACCACACGGTTCAGAAAAAACAGCACAATGCACTCACGGTTACATCTGTAGACGTCGCACTTGCACTACTGTGAGTATTGAAGAGTTTCTTGTTTCACACCTGCCAGGTCTTTCCAGGTATTGCCCTCCTTACATGAGGAGGTATTTAGTTCTCTTGAGCTTTGGTGAGGCTCAGATTAATTGAAGTTTAAAATCTGGGCAGCAAGGCAGCATCTGGCTATTGGAGTAAGCATTACTTTCTTCTATTTAGGATGGGAAAAGAATCTTTCAGCCCTCACTTCTTTTGGCTGCAGAGGCAATCAGACCTTTCTGAATGTGTTTAATCAAAACTGCATTCTCTCTCAACTATGAAAACACCCACAACTATGTCTCTGAAAATTTTCACATTTTAAAATTTCAGTTGCTTTTGCTGTAACTATGTCTAAATGAAAAAGAAAGTCATTGGATTTTCTTCCCCTTATATCTTGGACAGCTTTCAGGAATAGACAGGAACAGCAAATTTTCGGCCCAGAGCATAAGTTGTCAGAAAAAGCGAAACACATGAAGCAGAGTGTTAAAGTAGAACTTGTTTTCAACCTTAACTATGACTTAACAGATGCCTCTTGAAGTCAATTTAATGTGCCAAATTCAAACTCTTCATCTAAGATATTTTCAAGAGCAATTACATTAAAGAGCTGTATTTGAAAGACACATAAGAAGAGGTTAGGAAAGACAAGGCAGGAAGAAAGTAAAAACACTAAGAGTAAAGTTAAAATTACACACCTGATTTATATGAAAAGTTCAGTGGAATTTTTAATGCTCTATTATGACAGCATCTTTTTATTATATATGCTGTATTACAAACTTTTAATGAGAGGAATCAGGGTGGCTTTAGAAAGGGAAAAAACCCAGACAGTAAATTAGACATTACTGCAAGCTCAGCCCTTCAGAATCCTACCCTCGATCCCTTAAGGAAAGTAAATATTTTAATGTTCATGTAAACGGCAATTATTTTTTAACAGCAGCAAAAACATAGATGAGTAGATTTTGTCCCAGCATTTGAAGCATTTCCCTGTATTTCGTAAAGCTACCTTAGAAACAGCAGCATTCACTACTCAGAAAAAAACCCTAAAAAATCCAAATCAAAATAACCCAAAACCCACTCCAAAAAACCAGGTAGCAAACTCAAATTTCTGTGCACCTTACTAAGCAAGAAGAATTGATTAACTTATTAGTTAAGGATGTAATGATTGCAACCAAAGTAAGACAACAGTTGATCAAAATGAATTATTAAACTAAGAAAAAACATTGCTATGCAAAGCAACAACTAAATCACTTGCTGTTGGATCTCTTCACCACTGTCACCTCCTCACCTTGATCTCCTGCCCAAAGCTACAGCTGACCCAACCTCTGCCACTGTGCTGGAAGGGAACCAGTTTCAGGCACCCACCTTCAGTCAGAGCCTGAGCTCCATAGGCAGGAATTTACCATCACCCTCATCATCTGTTAAGAGCCACATGCAACTACGGGGTCACATAAATCATCACAATTACACTTTACAATGACTCATTCATTTTCATTCATTTAAGCATTTATCAGTGAAAATTACATAGTTTGCAATATGTCTCCTTGTTAAGTCAAGCAGGGAAGGAAAGTAATTTCAGTTTCCCCCTCAAGATCTGCAGCAGCACAAATATGAAACAATAGAACTTTTCTGCAGGTTAGACTCTTTGCCACAGCTAGTGGCAGCTTATTTCTAGACATCGTGTGTTAAAACATATGTGCTCTTCAGCTGGGCTAAAAACATGCGCAGACTAAATAAATACCCATTTACAGCACGAGGCAGTTGTAATGAACATAGAGAAATGTTTTCTGGTTGTACTATAAGTTAGTCTGGTTTGAAAAGAATTACACATTTACT